CCAAAAAAAAATGGAAAACTTTAGTATATGCATATCATATTGTCACATAAACATTACTTAAAAAAAAAAATTGTCTTTCAAGTATTACATTCCCCAAAATAAGAGCTTAATGAAAAAATATTAGCACATTACTATAAAATACCATGCAAAATGAAGGGAGTTGCATTTCAAGGTTGAGGATGCAATTACGAGCGTTTATATATGCTTTCCTATTTTTCAGACTTGTACATTAATGATTATGAATTTTATTTTGAACTCCCTTAAAAATACTATTCATACAGATTTGTATGGTTTTAAAAATTCAAACGGTGATGTACCCATCCTCAAAGCGTAGAGTATGCGATCACAAGCGTTTGCCTATTTTTCCACATTTTTTGCACTTGTAAATTAATTATTATAATTTTTTAATATGTTTGGTATTTTTAAATTACTTGATATTTTTATTTTTAATGTGTTATATAGTTGTTTAATCTCACTCTTTGCCTATAGTATGTTATAAAAATAAATAAAATTTCATTTTTTTAAATTTATATAGAATAATAATAGAATAATACATATTTTATATACACTAGGGCTATTATATTTTACAGTAAGTTTTTTTAGTAGTTTAAAAAGATTAAAATCATCAAAATAATAGTTTTCTTAACATGTCGAAACGGGTTACCCGCATGTCATCCTCGTGTAAGCCTGTTAATGATCCATTATTAACGGATTCTTAACCTGTAACCCGATAACGACCCAATTAGTTATCGTGTCGACCCGAAACCCATTATTTTCATGTCGTTTATTTGTCGTGTAAAAAATTGTCAAATCTAATCTAGAGTGTTCAATGACAGAGTGTACCGCATTGGCTTTTTCTTGTAAATATAATATAGATTCCCATGGAATATTGAAATATGTGAATCCAGTTTCATGGTATCATTTGCTTTGTTGCTGGCTGGAGTTTGAGAGCTGAAGAAATATTTTAAGGGATAACGCTAGAAAGGGGAGTAGAAATTTCTCTCCTGTACTCTCCCTTCTTATTTAAACAATTACGATTAAGTGACGTAAGTATTTTTAAAATTTTTTATAGAAAGAAAAAGACAAAAAGAAAAGTGTGAGAGGAAAGGAGGGAATGAGATGAAAATAAGAGGAGACAGAATCCTACTCCGCTAGAAATATCATTTTTTTTTTAAATTACAATTTGTGAATCACTTGATGTGGTTATTAAGGGTTGTTATTATTTTTTTTTGAAATCATTAAGTCTTACCTTATTACTATATCATAGCCGACTTTGAAACTTCAGGAGTCCTATGCAAAATGTTAATTGAAACCCAGAAAAAAAAAATCCATGAAAAGATGTTACAAATGATTTTTTTTAGCTTTCTCATAAATTGGTTTCAGTACATAAAATTTACAAACATATGAACACCTGTAGGTGGTTGTGCATTACCTCTGCATCAAAGATCACCTGGGTTCGAATTTCTGTTGTGTTTCTTATATTCGCAATACACTTGCATATGTAATATGCAAACGCGTCAGAAGATCGGGGGCTTTTCGAAATTAGGGACCTGTGCAGGTGCACCGCCTACATTGTTTCAGAGCCAATAATGTGTCACATGGTCTTCTTAACATTTTTCAATGCGAAAATAAAAGAAGAAGATTCTAATTGAACGCAGATATACACAAAACTACTTAGGCCGTTGTTTTTGTGACGTTGACACCTGAGAACCCCAAACAACTTGGGGATTTTGCAGCACACATTTTCAGAAATGAATTGAAATATACTTTCTTTCTTGCATTTAAAGAAAATTTTTCGTTTTTGACAAATTACAATATGATATGTATCTAAATTTTTCTCCTTTTTATGTCTTGGACTTGTTGAGTCAAGTTGACGGGAACTTTTGATATATGTCGAGCCATGTGTTTTGAAGATTGTCAACATCTACTGAGGAATGTTGTCGAGGCTTGTCGAGCATCACTTTTGAAATCTGTCGAGTAGTCATTTCATCAAACAAGTTGGCACTGCCATATATTGTAGCAAACTACCTTAGTGTTTCCGGAGGACTTTCCAAGTCAATTTCCCATGTCCGTAGAATCCCAAAACCCAAATAGTCCATTAATAAATCCATCCTTATATATTTTGCATTTGCAATTTAGAAATAAGAAGAATGACTATTTCACGTGTAAAAGTCTAAGGAGTGTCCAATTTGATTTGGCACCTACCTTTAACTCAAGGGTTGTGTAATGTGTGCTCCAAACCGACCTCTAAAATTACTCAAAAACGTAACCCCCGTCTATATTTTGGTCGGAGGTTCAAAAAACTGGGACATACCCATACGAATGTGAAACTGAACTCATGAGCCACGACCAATAGGAATTTAACAACAAAGACAATGCATTGGTTAAAGTCAACACTTCCTTATAAGGGTCCCACACCCAGAAAGGCCTTCACCGTCCTCCTCTGCCACCCAAATCCCTCCTCCCTCCCAACCCCTTAAATAATGGAAATAAAGATGCCAAAGGACACCACAAAACCAATCTTTTTGTGCTCCATTCTTTTTGCTTTGGAGAATAATACATATAGTTGAAAGAATCATCCTGTATAGTTGGGGAGGAGCTGCATATATTCAACAAAACTTGAGCTTTTGAAGCATAAAAAATTATGAGACACATTAGTTCCTCATCATTTCTACTAGTTTTGATGATGTTTATAGTGTTTTCACAGTCCAATGTTGTTGTTCTAGTTGATTGTAGAGGTCTTATTGGTTCAGACGGGCGTAGAGGAGCCATTGGCGGATCGATGTCGAAGGCTACGTTTTCGAGCTTTGCCAGGAAGATGAGGGACAGGGTTTCGGTCAGGTATCACAAAATGTCTACGTTGGCTTCTGGACCTAGCAGAAAGGGTTCTGGCCACTAGATGTAGTCATATTCTTTACATAGTTTCATACTTTCACTGTTTTTCAATGGCTTCCTCCATTGTTTCATACTTTCACTCTATTCTAGCTGTATCGTACGGTACATGTAATTCTTATGTATTTCTCAGTGCACCTGTACAGAAGATAGAGTATGGGACTAGAAATGTATGAGCTCAATATATATATGTGTGTGTGTGCGCGCGCAAATATGTTTGTAGCCTACACAAATGCATATTTACCATGCTTATGAAATTAAGGAAACGAAACACGCATCTTAAATCTAACTTAACTAGCAAGTGGCTCATAACTTACAGTAGTTAAAGAGCATTTACCGTGATACTTGACGTCCTATATTCAATTCTCCCACCCTCAATATTGATCTGTATCAAAAGCTAAACTATGTGTTCTACAACATTAGCATATTGTTTAGGACCATCTCCTTCAGTTTTGGACCATCTCCTACGGTTTGGAGTTAAATGACATATACCTTGGTTTGTTAAAAAACATAAAATCTTACATCCGGAATTTGAAGAGTTACGGTCCACACGTGTCTAATTGAGCAGTTTGTTCATGTTCCAGCCCAATTTGGTCGCATGTGCCCCACGTCAGCTAATATATTTGATCCTCATGTTTGGCACAGTCCAATTGAGGGATCGTGTTACAAAATAAGAAATTCCACATCAGAATATGAAATGCAATTGTGTTTTGGCCGATAACTTTTCTGCCAATCGAAACTTATAGATGAAAAAAAAGGCACAGCTAATAATACAGTGAAAGGTAAGATCCAAACTAACAGGGCCACACCGATCTTAGCTTAATTTACTGGCAAGAAACTTAAACAAGGTCAATATCATTACCTTACAGAACAAGAAAACTTGTAAGTTATCTGGCATCCCCAAATTTCAGTTGGGAGAAAATTTGGATTGCTGTTGTGTCCCTCGATTCATCGTCCCCTCATAGAACAATATCATCTGTTTTAACTGCAGAATTAACTGAAGGAAAACGCTCAACGTTTAGCAATATGTATGCCGTTGGTGAATCATTGGCTGTGCTGTCCTCAAAATTACGTTCTTCTCTATGCTTTGCTGTTTTGCTGGATCTTTAGATGTATAATCCAAGTCCCACAGCATATTCCCCATTGTAGGCCTATCGCGAGCATCTTTCGCAGACATTTCTCAACCGTCTCAGTAACCAACCACAATTGAACCCTCCATTATTTCCAACCACACCAGCAACATTTGTACTCTTTGACATTTGATATCGGATCTGATCCCTCCATTATTTCCAACATTTTCAGTCCATTTAGAAAGGCTGTTCTATTATAGACTCGGTAGGTATGCTAGACACATTGTCCCAGTTTCTCCATATTCTGTGAGTATCCGGTGTGACTTCCTGCCCTTCAACATTTACCCTTTAAGCTGTATTGAGGAGTAAAAGATGTTGCTTGAGGAGTAATATATATTTTTAACAAGCCAGGGTCACTGCCGAGAAAGAACTCCTTTGTCATAGGAGAGGAGCAACTATTCTTAGCAGAGAAATAGCTAAACATTTTGAACCCAGAATTTGATATATCAGGAAAAGCCGAAGCATCAAAAACAGCTGTGGAGAGATTACTTGAGGAGGAAGAGAAAAGGAAGAAATGCAGGCGTGCAATATAAGTCTCTTTTCCAGTGATCTCGAATTCGTATATGCTAGATAGTAGGACTGAATGATCTGGAAACTGGTTCCTGCCTTCGGAAGCGGTGCTTCCGTTTGAGGAGAAGGAATCATAAGTCACATCTCCTATGAACTTCCAGCCAGTAAGGTTCACAGAAGCATCTGATCCACAATTGCTAAAATACTTATCTGGGATATTATAAGCTACGGAGACTAAGTGAAAGGATGAGAAGTGGAGGAGAAGAACAAGCAGAGAAGATATACGGATATGGGTTCCACGGTTGGTTTAGACCAATTTGGTCAGGAGCAATGTGCTCGCCTCTTTGCACCGAAGTTCTAATATCCCTCCCCGTAAATTAGAGTAATTTAATTAGAATACCGTCTTGTTAGTATAGAAATTTTATCATCTAAAATTATCTCAAAAGCAAGACACTCCTCTGGGGGTAATGAGGTGAAACTCCCAAAAAGGAAAATTAGTTTATTTATAATATAATTTGTTAACTTCTGCTTATACACAATTCATATGATCATATCCCATCTTAACGATAGGAAAATTATCAAAGACAAGACTAAAATTAACAAGGCACACCTGAACTTATAGCTATTCAATCTATAGACACTTGAACAAGGTTAACTTACACACCTCTCAAACTGCACACCAACTTCAGTTGTGAGAATACTTCATTGCTGCCTTGTCCGATTCATCCACCCCGGAAAAGGTCATATCATCTGGGTTAACCGTAGAGCTATGGGAAGGAAAATGCTGAACATTAGGCAATATGAATTCTGATGAAGCATTGATCGTGCTGTCCTCGTGGGGTTCTCTATGCTTTGCTGTTTGCTGGAGCTGTAACGCGTACTCCAAGTCCCACAGTACATCACCCATTGTAGGCCTATCATAAGCATCTTCTTGCAAGCATTTCTCTGTTGTCTCGCTAAATTTTCTTAGCGAGCTAGGATCAATCTGACCCTTGAGTGAAGAATCAACAATCTGTTCAAGCAATCCGTTCTTCTTGCAATTCATTCCCCATTCCGCTAAATTTATTTGTTCTCTTGGTAGATTCCTATCCAGAGCAGGTCTTGCACATAACACCTCAAGGAGAACAACGCCGAAGGAGTAAACATCCGATTTTTCTGTCAACTGTTGAGTCATTATGTACTCAGGATCTAGGTAACCAAAGGTGCCTTTGACATTTGTACTGACATGGGTTTCATCAAGCGGACCAGATCTTGAAAGGCCAAAATCAGCAACTTTGGCGACACATTTTGCATCCAACAAGATGTTGGTGGACTTAACATCGCGGTGAATGATGCCTCCGGCTGCACCTTTGTGGAGGTAATGAAGACCCCTTGCTGCACCAATGCATATTTCAAGTCTTTGCTTCCATGTCAAGCGAGGCAAATTTGATTCATATAAATGTTCTCTCAAGGTCCCTTTCTCCATGAACTCGTAGACCAATATCATCTCAGACCTTTCATCACAGTACCCAATTAAGGCGACAAGATGGCGATGACGAATCCTGGACAAAACCATAATCTCTGTTTCAAACTCTGGAAGCCCTTGACCTGAACTATGTTCATGTCGTTTACCTCGCTTGACAGCTACAATTCTGCCATCTGATAGAGTTCCTCTATAGACGTTCCCAAAGCCACCCTCGCCTATCAGAAATTTTGTGTCAAAGTTGTTCGTTGCTTGCTGAAGTTGAGCAAAAGATATCTTCAACCCAAGATTTAGATAAGTCATAGGGGAGCCAGTAATCGTTCCCTCAGTGAACCTGCTGTGGGTACTCCCTCCTCCAAATGCAGGCATTGGTGACCATTCCGAAGTTTCAACATGCTTTGCCTTTCTGTATTTCAAACCGAACAAGAACCCGACAACCAAAATGCAGATAAGACACAGACCTCCAAGAACCGAACCAACCACAACAATGACGTTTATGCTCTTGGGCTCTTTCATATTTGGAATTGGTGCTGATTCCTCCATTATTTCCAACATTTCCAGTCCATTTAGAAAGGAATTTTTAGTGGTAGTTTCTTCTGTGTTAGGACCTATGCTGATGTTAATGAGTTCAGACTCCTTAGACTCCACCACAAAATCGTAGTAGTAAGGCAACAGGTTGCCAAACATGGATTCGGGTCCACCCACCCTCTTAGTGAAGTTTCCATTTGAATACAAGTTAAAAACAATGTCGGCAGTTTGGCCAACAAGGTCGCAAAAATGTGCCCGGACGAGATGTTTAGCGTTCCTGCGCACATTAAACGACCAGGTTATGTTGAACAAAGTGGACGGGCTGCTACTACTATTGTCCATTACTTTGGCAGTGTCGTAAACTGAAACTGGGGCAATAGAATCATTAGCAGCAGCAACAAAACCATCAAGTTCATACTCCTTGTAGTCAGGCATCTGTGAGGATACGGCTTCCTGTGCAGAGTTTGAATTCTTCAGATAAAGATCATCAGGATCCCAGTTTCGCCATAGTTTGTCCTTATCTGGTCGGACTTCTTGACCTCCAACATTCACCCTGTAAATTGTATGTAGAACTAAAGGGGAACTACTTGTGTAATTCTTAGGGCTGAAATTTGCAGGGGCAAGGAAGACTTCAATGGCATTTACAAATGCAAAAGACGATCCACGAGGCGTAAAGTATATCCTAAATGAGCCAGGATCAATGCCAAGAAAGAACTCCTTTATCGTAGAATTGCCACTACTATTCTTAGCAGTGAAATTCTTCAACAGCATGAATCCAGAATTCAAAATATTAGGAAAAGCCGAAACATCAAAAAGAGCAGCGGAGAGATTACTTGAGGAAGAGCCGAAAGCCAAGAAATGCAGACGTACAAAATAAGTACCGTTTTCAGTGATGTCGAACTTATAGTAGGATTCTTGCCTGAAAATTCTTGCTGTAAGGTAAAGATTGGACTGGTCGCCGCCATTGATAGGGCTGCTCGCCTTCGAGTGGAAGAAACGATCTGCAGTGAAGACATGGTTATTGAGGGTGGCATTAGCATTTGACCCGCAGTTGATGAAGTAGTCATCAGGGGGCTCATAAGCCAACGAAGGAAAGTGAAGGGATGAGAAATGGAGGAGAAAAACAAGCACAGAAAATAGAGGGAGAGGGGTTTTGCGGATACGAAGATTTTCCATGAAAATTTGATGGAGTTGCTGAATTCTGCAAGTGTTTAGGCTATGGAGTTCTGTCTGAGTGACCATGTAAATGATTGAAGTAGGAAGACTTGGAACAGAAAAAGTGGTGGACTGTGAAGTTGAAATGCCAACCACTTGAAAAGTCAAGGGAAAATAATGGTAGATTACCCTTTAAATTTGATAAGCTGTAGCGTGTAGATATACAGGAGAGGATATTTTGGGTGTTTTATTTTTTACGAAGATGCCATCAGTTCGAATGACGGGAATGCCCGTCTGGGGTTAAAATCACACGGTTGGGGGTAAAAGTTGGGTGGGCAGTGTTGTCAGTTAGGGTTGCATTCGGTGGGATCGATGGCTCGGTATGGGATTTGGTGGGAAGGCATGCTGCTTGCAGAGAGGAGGAGAGAGGGAAGGAGGGAGGGGGACAGAGAGAGGGGTTTGGTGAGGGGAAGGCATGCGACTTGCAGAGAGGAAGGAGGGAGGGAGAGAGGAGGAGAGAGAGGGAAGGAGGGAAGGGGATGCAGAGAGAGGGGTTTGGTAATTAAAGTGAGGGGTAATTTTTGCAAATCTTGTCAAATCATTTTGGCTCATTGGTTATTAAAGTGAGGGGTAATTTTTGTCATTTTGTCCATATTTAATAGAGATTTTTATGGAATGATCAAAATAATTGATAGTGGACAAATTTAGGGATCACTTCTATCGATTTCAAATCTTAGAAACCAAAATGGGGAGTTATGTCAATCTTAGGGACCGTTTTGGCTATAGTACCTATTTGGGTACTGTTAAAGCGAAAAATATCACATGCAAGCCTAAAAACATCTCAAAGCCCAAGCCCAGAGTTAATACATGTGAATGTGCAAAATTGAGAAGATTTACAATCACGCCATGCTAATAAAGTAATAAGTTATGGGAAGAACGTTTGTATTATCATGCCAAGCACATGCGTATTCACCCGTCAAGCTTTGACACGACATTGTTATGGTTTACAAATCGTGCTAACTATGATACAAGTTCATGTAAGCCCAAGCCAAGTGTCGGAGCTTGTCAAGTGAATAGTGATGTGGATGGTCACTAAACCAAGTCCCACAACATACGCCCCATTGTAGGCCTATTGCAAGAATCTTTAACAAACATTTCTCAACCATCTCACTTAACCAACCACAATTGAACCCTCCGTTATTTCCCACCACAACAACATTTGTACTATTTGAAATTTGTTATCGGAGTTGATCCCTCCATTATTTCCAACATTTTTAGTCCATTTTGAAAGGTTGTTCTATTATAGACTATGTCCTAGCACCTAAACTGACGCTAATGAGTTCAGACTCATCTGAATTAACCACGAAATCATAGTAGAAACGAGTAGTTGGCTGGGAGGAGAAAGGGGAATCTAAACCACCAAAGTTGCCACTTGAATACAGGTTAAATACTACATTACCAGGTTCACCTGATCTTTTAATGTCGGTAGGAATGCTAGACACCTTGTCCGGGTTTTCACTTCTTTGACATCAGTAGGTATGCTAGACACATTGTCCCAGTTTCTCCATGTTCTGTTAGTATCCGGTGACTTCCTGCCCGTCAACATTTACCCTTTTAAGTTGTATGCAGAACTAAAGGGAAACTACGGTTGTAATTCTCAAGGTTGAGGAGTAAAAGATAATGCTTGAGGAGTAAAATATATTTTTAACAAGCTAGTGTCACTACCGATTTATCATATAATTTGTTAACTTCTGCTTATACACAATTCATGTGATCATATCCCATCTTAACGATAGGAAAGCAATGCTAGTACAATTATCAAAGATAAGACTAAAATTAACAAGGCATACCTGAACTTATAGCTATTCAATCTATAGATACTTGAACAAGGTTAACTTTCATGCCTCACAAACAGCACAGATTTATCTGGCATCACCAATGTTCAGTTATGAGAATACTTCGTTTGCTGCTGTGTCCAATTCATCCACCCCGTAAAGGGTCATATCATCTTGGTTAACTGTAGAGCTATGGGAAGCAAAACGCTGAACATTTGGCAATATGAATTCTGATGAAGCATTGATCGTGCTATCCTCGTGGGGCTCTTTATGCTTTGCTGTTTGCTGGAGCTGTAACGCGTACTCCAAGTCCCACAGTACATCACCCATTGTAGGCCTATCATAAGCATCTTCTTGCAAGCATTTCTTTGTTGTCTAATTTATTTGCGTGAAGAATGACCTTTGAGTGAAGAATCAACAATCTGTTCAAGCAATCCGTTCTTCTTGCAATTCATTCCCCATTCCGCTAAATTTATTTGCTCTCTTGGTAGATTCCTATCCAGAGCAGGTCTTGCACATAACACCTCAAGGAGAACAACGCCGAAGGAGTAAACATCCGATTTTTCTGTCAACTGTTGAGTCATTATGTACTCAGGATCTAGGCAACCAAAAGTGCCCTTGACATTTGTTCTGACATGGGTTTCATCAAGCGGACCAGATCTTGAAAGGCCAAAATCAACAACTTTGGCGACACATTTTGCATCCAACAAGATGTTGGTGGACTTAACATCACGGTGAATAATGCCTTCGGCTCCACCTTTGTGGAGGTAATGAAGGCCCTTTGCTGCACCAATGCATATTTCAAGTCTTTGCCTCCATGTCAAGCGAGGCAAATTTGATTCATATAAATGTTCTCCCAAGGTCCCTTTTTCCATGAACTCGTAGACCAATATCATCTCAGACATTTCATCACAGTACCCAATTAAGGAGACAAGACGGCGATGACGAATCCTGTACAAAACCATTATCTCTATTTCAAACTCTAGAAGCCCTTGACCTGAACTATGTTCATGTTGCTTACCTCGCTTGACAATTACAATTCTGCCATCTGATAGAGTTCCTTTATAGATGTTCCCAAAACCACCGCACCTATAAGAAATTGTGTCAAAGTTGTTCGTTGGTTGCTGAAGTTGAGCAAAAGATATCTTCAACCTAAGATTTAGACAAGTCATAGGGGAGCCAGTAATCGTTCCCTCAGTGAACCTGTTGTGGGTACTCCCTCATCCAAATGCAGGCATTGGTAAACATTCCGAATTTCAACATGCTTTGCCTTTCTGTATTTCAAATCGAACAAGAACCTGACAACCAAAATGCAGATAAGACATAGACTTCCTGTTGTGCTTTGGCCTGTTATCTCACCAACTTATAAACCCACAGTTGAACAATTTAAAATACAAGAAATAAAGACAGCAAGAGAATTACGAGGTTCGGCAAAAACCTGCCTACGTCCTCGGAGAGATATTGCTCTTCACTATGAGAATAACTAGTACAAAACATACATGAGTTAAATTGACATAACCCAAACCCCAATCTCTTGTACACTCACAAAATTTTTCCAAGAGCCTCACTATCCCCAAGAGTTTCTCACTCTCACTCTATTTTCTTTTCCCTCTGTGTTTTTCGGATGCACACCCTTTTTTCTTCACACTCGGCAAGCATTTATATACAATGCAAGCAATTCCTTGCATTTAAATAAAGGCCATCATTATCATCCCCCTGCTTTGCCTTTAATCAAATCACAATGCCACCTTCACGTGAAAAAAGCTAAATGGGAAAACATGAAAAGAAAACCTAGCCTATAAAGTAGACTTTTTTCATGCATAGAAAGCATACATATTTACGTGCAAACAAACACAAAGACAACACTTTGCTACAGCCATTTCCTTGTAGCACATAAAGCTAAACTATCAAAATTGTTGCCAACTCAAACTATGAGCCAATCACAACACTTCCAAGAACCGAACCAACCACAACATTGACGTTTATGCTCTTGGGCTCTTTCATATTTGGAATTGGTGCTGATTCCTCCATTATTTCCAACATTTCCAGTCCATTTAGATAAGAATTGTTAGTGTTAGTATTTGCGTTAGGACCTATGCTAATGTTAATGAGTTCAGACTCCCCAGATTCCACCACACAATTATAATAGTAAGGCAACAGGTCGCCAAAAATGGAATTGAGTCCACCGACCTTCTTAGTGAAGTTTCCATTTGAATACAAGTTTAAAAACAATGTCGGCAATTTGGCCAACAAGGTCACAAAAGTGTGCCCGGACAAGATGTTTAGCGTTCTTGCGCACATTAAACGACCAGGTTATGTTGAACAAAGTGGATGGGTTGCTATTACGATTGTCCATTACTTTGGCAGTCTCGTAAACTAAATTTGGGGCAATAAAATCATTAGCAGCAACAACAAAACCATCATATTCATACGCCTGGTACTTAGGCGTCTGTGAAGGTCCAACTTCCTCTGTAGGGTTTGAATTCTTCAGATAAAGATCATTAGAATCCCAGTTTCGCCATAGTGTGTCCTCACCTGGTCGGAGTTCCTGACCTCCAACATTCACCCTGTAAATTGTATGTAGAACTAAAGAGGAACTACTGGTGTAATTCTTAGGGCTGAAATTTGCAAGGGCAAGGAAGACTTCAATGGCATTTACAAATGCAAAAGACGATCCACGAGGCGTAAAGTACATCCTAAATGAGCCAGGATCAATGCCAAGAAAGAACTCCCTTATCGTAGAATTGCCACTACTATTCTTAGCAGTGAAATTCTTCAACAGCATGACATATTAGGAAAAGCCGAAACATAAAAAAGAGCGGCAAAGAGATTACTTGAGGAAGCGGCGAAAGCCAAGAAATACGGACGTACAAAATAAGTACCGTTTTCAGTGATGTTAAACTTATAGTAGGATTCTTGCCTGAAAATTCTTGCTGTACGGTAAAGATTCAAACTCTGCCTGTGTAAGTTTATCTTACATTGCCGGTCCCAAGCCCGGATAAAGGAGGAGGGGGAGGGCGTCAGGTAGTTGACAGCCGGCACTCCATGGTTACGTCGAATCCTTATGAAAATGAATCCAGAACGAAATCGCGCTAAAGCTAGGGCGTCACCCGTAAGTGGCGCGCTGTGTGGTCCGAGCACAGTGATAAGTGAGCAAGGGTCGCTGTATCTCCATCGGCACCCGGATACAGTGTTAAATGAGCAAGGGGGCCATAGAAACTTCTTTTCGAACGACTCCACTCAAAGTTGTTTGGGAGCATATGCTCCTATCAACTTTACACGGGACACACAAAAAAAAGTACTTTGATCCTACTAGACGGGGGAGGGTGAAGAAGCTAGGACAGAAGGGTAGAGTTCAAGATAGCAGAATGCGTTTAGGAACGTAGAATATAGGAACCTTAACGGGAGAATCTATGGAAGTAGTGGAAGTTATGGTGAGGAGAAGGATAAATATTATGTGCCTACAAGAAACTAAGTGGGTTGGTCGTAAGGCAAAGGATCTAGAAAACTCAGGGTTTAAACTTTGGTATTCGGGCACAAATAGAACGAGAAACGGTGTTGGCATCATCGTGGACAAGACCTTGACACAAGATGTTGTAGATGTCAAGAGGGTAGGAGATAGAATTATGGCAATCAAGATTGTAATAGGACAAGAACTTATCAATGTGATTAGTGCGTACGCACCTCAAGTAGGGTTGGATACGAGTTCGAAGGAGAAATTTTGGGAAGACCTTGGAGACTTGGTGCAATTTAAAACTCAGACGGAGAAGTTATTTATAGGAGGAGATTTAAATGGACACGTGGGCAGGGAGACAGGCAACTATGGAGGTTTTCATGATGGCCATGGTTTTGGGGAGAGAAACGAGGATGGGGAAGCTATCTTGGATTTTGCAATGGCATATGATCTCTTCTTAGCCAACACCTTCTTTAAGAAGAGAGAAGAACATGTGATCACCTACAAGAGTGGGTCGTCAAAAACACAAATAGATTTTCTTCTAATGAGGAAAGGGGATCGTATAACTTGTAAGAATTGCAAAGTTATACCGGGAGAGAGCGTGGCTAATCAACATCGCTTGTTGGTGATGGATGTACATATCAAAAGAGTGAGGAAAAAGAACAAGACTTGGAAGTGCCCAAGGACTAGATGGTGGAATCTAAAAGAAGAAAAACAAGCCATTTTCAAAGAGAAAGTAATCACCCAGTGTGTGTGGGATAGAGAGGGGGAATCTAGCCAAAGGTGGGATTCCATGGCTAGCTGTATCCGAAAAGGAGCAAAAGAGGTATTAGGAGAGTCCAAGGGCTTTGCTCCACACCAAAAGGAATCTTGGTGGTGGAATGAGGAGGTATAAACAAAGGTGAAGGCTAAGAAGGAATGTTGTAAAGCCTTATACAAGGATAGGACCGATGAAAATGGTGAAAGGTATAGAAAAGCGAAGCAAGAGGCGAAGAAAGCTGTGAGAGAAGCTAAGTTAGCGGCTTATGATGATATGTATAAGCGACTAGATACCAAAGAAGGAGAGTTGGATATATATAAACTAGCTAGAGCAAGGGAAAAGAAGACAAGGGACCTAAACCAATTGAGGTGCATCAAGGATGAGGATGGAAAGGTTCTTGCTACAGAGAACGCGGTCAAAGACAGATGGAGAGGTTATTTTCATAATCTTTTCAATGAAGGACATGAAATGAGTGCTTCTTTAGGGGAGTTGAGTAACTCAGAAGAGTGTAGAAACTACTCATTTTATCGTCGAATCCGGAAGGAAGAAGTGGTTGTAGCTTTGAAGAAGATGAAGCATAGAAAAGCAGTGGGCCCAGACGATATACCGATCGAAGTGTGGAAAGTGTTGGGAAAGACAGGTATAACATGGCTCACTGACTTTTTCAATAGGATTTTGAAAACGAAGAAGATGCCAAATGAGTGGCAAACGAGCACTTTGGTGCCTATCTACAAGAATAAGGGCGACGTACAAAATTGCATGAACTATAAGGGTATTAAGCTAATGAGTCATACAATGAAGCTCTGGGAGAGAGTTATTGAGCATAGATTGAGGCAAGAGACACGGGTT